TAAAACGTGCCACATGTTTCGATAATTGTTATCTATCTCCTCCATTACACATGGAATTAATCTAGAATTTTTTTCTGGATTATCGATAATAATTGAAAGATAAGTTCAAAAATCGATATTAAAATTTGAATATCACAGTGAGAGGTGAATGAGCAGACAAATACTCATTGTTTCTGATATTTATTCATCACTTTTCTTTCCAGTAAGTATTCACCAATAACAATAATAATAGTAATTAACTACTACAATTCCATAAATTTGAAAATTTATAAATAATTACTACTACATATAGATTTTTCTGCTGATAGATTAACTTATTATAAATATTTTCCACTTGAAAAATGCGAATAATCAATATATCTATAATATATTTATATAATTTTGTGGAATAGCAGAAAAAATGCTGATGCAATGATTACATTTTTTATGCTCCGTGTATTTTAATTTGATAATAATGTTTCATGATTATTCCTTGAAATATAATTATCAATTCATCAAAGATTGTGCAACTGTATGATCAATGGAATGTTAATTTCCAATGAGAATCTATTTATCTTTCGATTTAAAATTTAATAGTATCTATGGATTTCTACTAAATCAATAGACATGATGGGTATTTTCTAATTCCAATTATCGTAATGAATGTGCAATTGCTCTGCGTGTTTCCACTTAAAAGTAGACCTAGGATTTTTATTTACTATCTAAAAAAAACTTGGACAGGATGTATATATTATCATTTCTTCCATGACTCTTGGGATAATGGAAGGCTTGAGAGCTCGAGGGTACTTTCTCATTTCAATTATCAATTCATTTATTCATTACGGTAGAGGGATATGAATTATAATCATCATTAAAAATACTGACGATCGCATAATTCGTCTTGGGATATCTAAATATCTGTTAGTCAAGTTTGTGGGTGTTTTTTTCATTTGTCTCAACATTTTCGTTGATAGCTGTTAGCCACCTGTACAAAAATACACGTTCACTAATTTAATTAGTCTTTTATTGATTAGATAACAGGCGTACGTCCAGCTATACGTCTAGCTAGACGTCACCAGCAACTCGATATGTCTCAGCGTGATTCCTTTGCAGTGAAAAAAAAAAACAATTTAAGGAATCTCTTCCAGTACTTTTATTGCATTTTCATTCACTAGTTGGATTTATCTGCAATATCACATCTATAAAAACCTATCGAATTTAATTGTGTCACATATACTCGTTTTGGAATATGATCAATCAATTTTTCTCTTTACACTCGTTTTCAATTTATACACTAATTATCATCATTAATTAATTATCATCATCTAATATCCGAAAGGAAAACAAAAAAACAAGAAACTTTCTCACGTACAGTTGGATATTTCTTGTGGCTTTTTTTTTTTGTTTTAAACTTTAAAACAAAAATTATTATTCATATTATTTTATTAATTATAAGTTTAATTTTCAATTAATTCAGCAATAATATGCCTCCTGCGGATTTCTATAAAAATTCATAGGGCCATTATAGAATCGCATTTGGCACATTAGTGTAAAGAGAAAAATGTTGATAAAATTATAAAATGGAATGAAGAACGCGATTATTTTCATTACGTTAATTAAATTCTCAAATGGTGTACTAGATAATTTTTGAGAGAACAAAAATATTCATTTCTCCTTTATCCATAAAAATAAAGATAATACAAAATTCATGTATATGTATGAAGTATCTTTTTCTATTTCTATTTTTCTTCCATTTTCAACAATAATAATTTTATCTAATATACCTATGACGTTTATATTTTTTTTCTTCAACGAGTACAGTATTTTCAAAATTTTTCAAACCCCTATCGTCTTTTCTGGATATATTATCCTAAAATTTCATCATTATTGATTTCCCAGATAAAAAACATGGGAATTCAGCAGATATGTATGTGATTTTTATGGTCAAGAGATCCTAATTCACATTAAAATTTTTCCATCAATAATTACACAATAAAGTATGATATGCATTAATTATATAATAAATACGTTCTTCCGGGTCATAAACTCTTTGTTTTACTTTCATTGATTGATTTATTTTAATCAACGCGTAATAGATTATTCATGTCAAAAAGTAAATATTACGTCAACTATTCGCTAAATAAACACATAGTGTTGGTAAAATTGTTTTTATAAGATTGATATGTATTATAGTTGATTTGAGTGCATTGATAGAGTATATCATTGTCCAAAACACTTTTCATCAATTGTCATCACATTTTCAACTTCCTTCGGATCGATAATTCTCAATTATACCATTTTGTGTAATAAAATACACAAAAATTTAAA